CGGAATCAATGCACGCTCATTGATAACCCTTATTCAATGAATTTGAATAGGGGAGAAAAAGTGAGTCCAAAAAATTATTTTGTGTGTCAAAAGATGTACACGAAAAATATTTAAAGTATATTTTTCTTACCAAAAAAAAATTGTGTAACCTTAAAAATATTTTTAAGAAATTTTTGACACACTTATTTTGAAACTGACTCAGTAAAATATTTTTAGACAGAGGAAAAGTAATTTTTCAACTGACTCAGAAAATAATAATTTTTATCCCTCAAAAACTAATTTGTTTGTGCAGAAAGTATTGTCATCCTTACAAAGATTCCTAGACTCAATTAAAAGAAATCTTCGGAGTCTTCACTTCACTTCAAAACTTCTGCATAGGGGTAAGCCTTGATTTTATCTTGATACGCCTACAGCGCTGTCCAGGAGACCCAACAGCGCTCTTGAAGGAAACACCATCAACCAGCTTGAGCCAACAGCGCTGTACAATACACCAACAGCGCTGTCCCAGGGAGTTCCCTTTACCTTTGCTTTCTAGAAACTTTTCAAACAACGATGTCCTTCTATTCAACATCGCTGTCCTTTTTTACAAATTTTTTTAATCGTAAAACAGCGATGTAGGGAAACCCAACAGCGCTGTTCTAATGGGTGCAAACCCTTACACATTTCCAGAAACTTTGGGAACATCGCTGTAGGATACCCAACATCGATGTCCATTTGAGACTCGTTTTTAAAACTTGACGCAAAACAGCGCTGTCTAGAGGCTCAACAGCGCTGTCCCGACAGCGATGTAGCATTTGGGACATCGCTGTTCAAACTGATTTGTTCAAAAAAAATACCCATTGGGCACTGCTTTTAATGCTCCAACAGCCATTTTTTCAAATTTTTGAATGTTGGGAACCCCTCTCCCTATATATTTTGGTCTCCTCTCTTCACTTTTACACACACAAACACAAATCTCTTCAATCTCCTTGCATATTTTATCCTATCTACTTTTTTCTCTTGAGATTTCTTCACCATGGGCAAAGACAAGAGCAGGGTTGCCACCTCCGGGAAATCAAAGTCCAAATACCGGGCTCCAACGACGTCCTCCAAGGAACGTCTCTACAATGGCAATGAGATGGACGTCGACAACGACGAGGAGGAAACCAAAGACGAAGATTATCTCTTCTTCTTTCAATTGTCTTGTTTTTTATTGCTTCCATTGTACTCCGCTATTTCCCATTTCAATAAATAAAAGTTATCTTTTATCTTTTTGTTAATGTCAAAAGGGGGAAGAAAATGGCTATGCATATACTAAGGGGGAACGTCGCTAAACGGGATCGTTTGAATTTAAAACGAAATGGATTTTAAAACGCCTACTTATTTTAAGCACAAATTAAGGGGGAACTCTTTCAATATTTTTTAAAATCAAATATCCCTTAGCATGCATATCCCCGTCTTGTTTGCCATTATCAAAAAAGGGTAAATTGTTGGAACAGGGGTTTACGCCTATGTCGTACTAAACCGTGTTCGTTTTATGACAGGTTTTGATAATGCCAAACCGCCGTGACAACAACACGAAACTGAGAAGATAAAAGGTGAAGGAACATGGCATGATGATTTGAGAATCGAGAACCAAGAATCAAGAACGAAGACTTAGAATTTATTGAGTCGGTCTTAATGTGATCAAGACTGGCACAAACTTCAAAACTTGGCTCTCTAGGCTACTCCATTAAAATACTCTTTTGAATATTCAAAAATGTTTTTCAAAAGTTTTAAACAAGCCTAAAACACTTGGTGTTCGCCCAAACCAAAAACCAAGCCATCCGGCGTTCGGCTTTCAAAAACCGGCGTTCGGCATTCGGTTATCATCGTTGGTTTTTTTGGTGTCCGAACCAACCAAGTGGGTTTTAACTTTTAATGATTGGTTTTTACTTCTGGGCATATTTAAATAGTTCTCCAACAAAAACGCTTCAAAAACCACCTTTCATTTTTGGTTGTTTAGTGAAAACCATGCGAAACGGCGTAAACTTGGCTAGCCGTGGTTTTCAATTAAATGGCGTAGTTTTTAAGATGCTTTACTTGATTTATTAGCAAAATGCTTTAAACAAACATTTTCAATACTTGGTTTTTCTTTTTGGAGAACTTACATTTTTTTGAAATCGGCTAACGGCATGACTAAACCAACCATGGGTCTGGCTAAACCAGACCAAGAGCGATGTTGGTGTAACCAACAGCGCTGTCTGGCATGAGAAGCTGAAAACCATGGTTTGGCGTTAAGTCTTTCAACAGCGATGTTGGATGTTAGACATCGCTGTTGAGCCAAGGTTGGGTTTCCAGAAACATCTGGAACAGTGATGTAGCCTACCTTACATCGCTGTCCAACCTAATCCAAAACCAAATACATTGGCAGAAAGTTTTTGGACAGCGCTGTTGACCCAGCAACAGCGATGTCAGGCCATTTCTTTCACTTTCAAAGTCAGGCCTAAACAACGATGTTCAAGCAATGAACATCGATGTAGGCACCTGACTATTGGAAGGAATTTAAGGCTAAAACTTTCATTGTTTGGAAGTGAACAACCAAAACACCGATGTAGGGGTTTTTGGACATCGCTGTTGGCATGACCGTTGCTTCCCAGTTTTCAAAAACGAAGCCTAGAACAGCGATGTCCAAGCCATGGACAGCGCTGTCTAGGTGAATTTCAGCAGATCCAATTTTAATCAAATCCCACAAATTGTGCCAATCACCCCTTAAATGTTTTGATCCGTTGGAGCCTATTTTTCTACTATAAAATGGGGTGTTTGGGTCTATTTTAGACATAACATTACTTCACAACTCTTACTCTTTCATTGCAAATCATTCATCCTTTATTCATAGCTTTTTGAGAGCCATTTTGGTGAAGCTTGTGTTGTGTTCTTGAGCGTTCTTAGTTACTCATTATCCACTCTAAAAGAGAGTATAGTTGTTGAGTGATTTAGTGTTCTTAGACACTTGACAAGAGAAAATACTTCTCTTGTTGTTCGAAGGAAGGGTTGTTTCCTTCGAAGGTTCGTTGAGGTTCGTGTGACTCGAACTCTCAAGTTGTACGGGTTTGTTAAGCACCGTTAAGCTTAACGAGATAGTAGTGTAGCTCGAGAGAGTTTCTCGGGAGGCTGGATTAGCCACAAGTTGTGGTGAACCAGGGTAAAATCGGTGTGCCTCTTACTCTTCTCTTTACTTCTATTTTATTTATTTTAAATTCCTGCAATTTCTCGAGCAAACGTTATTCACCCCCCCTCTAGCGTTGGTCTATTATTCTAACAGTTTCTAAGAGAATTGCGAGTAGAAACTCCCTGCGTTATGTCACTAATGAAGTTGTCAATCGGGTGATTCTTTAAGGTTCTCCACTCCTTAGGAAGCTCCGTTTGCTCATGCGTTTTCTCTTCTTCTGGTTCCTTTTCCTTAACGATTTCTTCTTCATCGTCATAAGAACTTGGAACATTATCAACAATACCTTTTCTCGCCAAGCGAGCATCAAATTCATCGAAGACAACATGAATAGACTCCTCTACGGTCTTAGTACGCTTGTTGAACACTCTATATGCCATACTACGAAGAGAATAACCTAAGAAAATTCCTTCATCCGACTTAGCATCAAATTTTCCCAAGTTATCTCTTCCATTATTATGAATAAAAACCTTACATCCAAAGACATGAAAATAGGAAAGGTTAGGCTTTCTTCCTTTGTAAAGTTCATAGGGTGTTTTGTTGAGTATCGGTCTAATGACGGCTCGGTTTAACACGTAGCACGCGGTACTCACGGCATCTAGCCATCTCTTTAAGAGACCTATTTTTCCGTTCAACCACGCCATTTTGTTGTGGTGTACGGGGGGCTGAGAAATTATGCTCAATGCCTAATTCGTCACAAACGACATCAAAGCCGTCTTGATCAAATTCTCCCCCATGATCCCTTCTAATGGATACAATGTGAGAATCTTTTTCATTTTGAACCAATTTAATGAATTTCTTAAAAGCATTAAGTGCATCATAGTTATGAGCTAGAAAGAGTGTCCATGTAAACCTCGAATAGTCATCAACGATAACAAAGCCAGAGTAATTACCTCCTAAACTCATAGTTCTTGAAGGTCCAAAAAGGTCCATGTGCAAAAGTTGTAATGGCCTAGTCGTAGAAACAACGTTCTTTGACTTAAACGAGGCCCTTACTTGCTTCCCCTTTTGACATGCATCACAAATTATATTCTTCTCAAACTTAAGTTTAGGAACACCAATTACTAAGTCTTTAGAAACCAACTTATTAAGATGGTCCATATTAACGTGAGCTATCCGACGATGCCATAACCACGTTTCTTCCTCTTTGGTAATGAGGCACTTAGCTAAGGTAGACGGGGAATTTTCAAGATCAAACATGTAAATGTTATCTACTCTACTACCACAAATAATAGTCTTATTGTCACACAAGCATTCTAGAATGCACTTACTAGAATGAAAGATGACATGGTTACCTCTATCGCACAATTGGCTAATGCTGAGAAGATTGTGCTTGAGGCCCTCAACAAGAAGAACGTTCTCAACGGTTGTAGCATTGTCTCTCCCGACGGTGCCACTTCCAATGATCCTTCCTTTGTTGTTGTCGCCAAAAACAACATTGCCACCTTTGAAATATTCTAAACTCCTAAATTTGGATGCGTCTCCGGTCATGTGCTTGGAGCATCCGCTATCGAGATACCAAGAGGTACTCGAAGCCTTCAAGCACGCCTACAAAATGATATCAAGGAGACGGTTTAGGTACCCATTTATTGTTGGGTCCTTTTTGGTTAGCATATGTGCGATGTGTGTGCGTTTGTTGGAAATGCCTAAGTTTGGTGAAGCACATGGGTGCAATGTGACCTATCTTATTACAATAATGGCAAATAACATTTGGATTATTCATCCTAGTTTGATTATTTGTCCTAGCATTTTTATTCCCCCTAGCTTTAACAAATGTTGTTTTTCTAGGTGGGTTTTTCTTAAATCCAAGTCCTTCACCATTACCAACTTTTTGCTTAAGTATTTTATCTAAGGTGTTTGAAGCATTATTAAACTTTCTCAATTTGCTCTCTAAACTAGCAACCTTAGCTTTTAGTGATGTACAACTAGAGCATGTAGAAGAGGAAGTAGATGAAGGTTCTTGTGGCCTTTTTCCAAAAGAGATAATTTCTTGTTTAAGTTTATCATTTATATTTTTGAATTCTTTGACATCATTCTCAAAAATCAGGATTGTTTGTTTAACTTCATTATTTTCTTTGGAAGCCTTTTTGAACATTCCTACAAGTTCTTCTACAATGCAAACAACATCATTAAGAGTTAAAGGGTCATTGGGAGAAGGTTCTTGATCACTTACCTCTTTTGATGTTTCACCATCCTCAATGGCCATGAGACACAAGTTGGCCACTTCCTCCGTTTCCGAGTCTTCACTCCCGGAGCCGTCGTTCTCCCAAGAAATGTAGGCACGTTGCTTTTTCGGTGCCCTCGTGTCCTTCTCGTTCTTGAGCTTCGGACACATTGGTTTGATGTGTCCAATTTCACCACACCCATAGCACTTGGGTGGAGTGTTCTTCTTGCCTCCCTTCTTGAGCATCATCTTCTTGAATTTTCGGGCGAAGAGTCTGAGGTCAGTGTCGTCGCTGTCATCATTTTCATCATCAACGTTGTTGTGGGTTGATGTTGTTGCGGGTAGAGCAATAGACCTCTTGCTATTCTCTTCAACCACCTTTGAGAGTTGGGTGGTTTCGTAGGTAATGAGATTACCTCAAAGAGCATCATAGGTTGTTGTTTGGAAGTCACAACCTTCTTCAGTTGCGTCTACCTTTGAACTCCATTTG